TAGGGGATAAGCGTATTTAGTATCCTTGGGACAATGAATATTGCATAGATCATGACCATTAAAGGGGAGATTAGCATGATGAAGTGCAACTAAGATTTAATTTCCAAAGTCTAGGAGTTGTGTCTAATAAAATGATATTGATTTCAATGTTCTCATTTGTTGTATAAATTGCATCAAAAGAGGGAATTTTGGGTTTTGGCATGTTTTAGGTTGGTTTGATTGGGTTTTCAAGTTTTGGGGTTTAGAAACACCTAAAGATTTTTATGAGGGATAAGAGGTTAGAGGAGGAAATTTTACTACTGAAATTTTAGTTAAGGTCAAATTTGATATAGTGCAATGCCTTTGCTTGGAAGGTGTAGTATGATCCCAAGTTTATGAAGGCAAATGCAACTATTAAGCAATCATGCGAAAAAACAAAGTGGTGTCATCCGAGACATAGCTAGCATTAATTGATGTTCGACTTTGCCTTTTGATTAATGCTTGCAATTAGTGGTTGATGTATCGATTTGAAGGGCTAAATACTTTGATGGGGTTGGTTATTTGATGAAGTTTGTTAGGTTTTTATAGATTTTGATTTTTGATAGATGTTGATGTTGAAAGAAATCTCATGGGTGTTTGATTTCAAAACCTTTTTGAAAACCATTTTGAAATCTGATGAGGTCCTATGATTGTTATAGCACATGTTGTCATTTTGATAGGTAACAAGAGTCCTTTAAATGGGAGCAGCTTGTGCATTGAAACCTTGATAAATCAAACAATGAAAATTGTGTAGTGAAAATTGTTGTGGTGTGAAAATAAGGTGGATTGGTCACAAATTATCAAGCTTTTTACACTTATAGACATGATGCCACGCAATAATATCGAATTTAATGCCTAGAGATGTCTTTTGAATTTTATGATTATGCATGAATGGAAAACTTTTGAAAGATTTTTTTTTTTGCATTTTTTTGGATTAGGATGTGAAGTGATTGATTTTTTTTATTGATTTTAGGATTATGCTCGAAGGTGAGTTGCTCAAGGCAGATGAATTTGATAGATTTTGCATTATGCTTGAAGGCGGGTCGCACATAGTGAGAGATTTTGATAGACTTTGTATTGTGCCTAAAGGCAAGTCGCACGAAGTGAGAGATTTCAATGGATTCTTTTGTATTTAAATGATTTTTGTATTTTGATTACTTGTATAGTTTTTGGATGTTTTAGATGAAAGAAATTTGGATGATTAAAAAATTTTGGATTTAGATAAATTATATAAAAGTAATTGATGAATTTATATAAGAGAATTTTGGTTGAAAGAAGACTTGATACAAAAATTTTACATAATTTTGGATTTTGATGAAAGAATTTTGGATGGATGTGCAAGGAACATTGGATGAGGTGTATGTCAAAATTTTGGATGAAAGAAAATTTGATTTTTGAATAATTTTGGATTTGGATGAAAGAATTTTGGATGTATGATGTAAAGAACTTTGGTTGAGGTGTATGCCGAAATTTTAGATGAAAGAAATTTTGATGAAAACATTTTAGATGATTTGGATGAAAGACTTTTGGATAAGTTTGAATTTGGATGAAATAAACTTATATGAAAACATTTTAGATGATTTGGATGAAAGACTTGTGGATAGTTTTTTATTTGGATGAAAGAATTAGTTGATTGGCCAAGGTTGACTCCCAACAAAACAATTGCATTCAAAAGGGGTCTGCTTATCCTTAATGGAGTGTGAGAGTTGACAATTGAAACACTAGTGATTTTAGAGATATTTGTCTTGAAATGTTAGATGGTAACTGTAAATTCATTTAAGGAAATATTGAATACTAATGAGTTGCTAAGAAGAAAGTATTGCTTTTCCTTGCAATGAGGCAAACGACTTGAATGTCATGCATGTTCCAAGTTTTGAGCAGTGTTTAGAAAATCGGACCGGCTGGTTGAATTTGGACCCAGGACTCTAGCTGATTCGATCATACCCCAATAATCAGACTTGCTTAAAATCCACTAAAAACTGGTTGACTGGCCAATTGAACTAAAAAACCGATGAATTGGTCCCAGTTTCATGAAATTGCTTGGGTCCATAAGTGAAATTTTAAAATGTTGTTAACAAGATTGAACCAAGACCTCTTATTTTCACAGATTACTTAATTACCACTAATCCACCTCTTTACTTGTATACATATTACATTATTATGCATGTATTTTAAAGAAAATGTAAGTTAAAAGGCTTGAACCCTAGTAATTTGTTTTAAAAATTAAGAAACTTACCATCCATCCACCATATTTAAGTACATTAAAAGTTGTAAAATATATTATATATAGTATTTATATGAGCCATAGTATATATATGTATATGCCACATCATCACAGTTCGAACCCAGTCAAACCTCTGACCCATAAACCTCTCCCTTCTTTGGTTCTATGCCCGGTCCAGTTCTCTAAACATTGGTTTTGAATGTGCCTTTTTGCTTCACTTTTGCCCTTGGTTTAGCACTTCCATATTTGGATTGCCTTTTATTTTCTTCCTTTTCTTTTAACCTTTAGGGGTGTCCATGCGGGTTTTGACCATTGTACTTGGTTTTGTCATTATCAATGAAATAAGGTCTATCTAAGGCCATCTTTCTAATCTTTCAACGATCGAGGAGGTTTTATTAGATATGATGAAACACAGCTTAGGGTAAGGCTTAGAATCAAAAGATGTGGGGCTCAAATACTTTTTTGATATGGGTTTCAGATGCTTGAGTTGACATATAAGGCTTTTAGCATATTCTTGTCCCTTCTTCATTTTTTCTCTTTTTTTTACTTCCTTCTGGTTGTAGGGATTGAGAAATGATTTTCATGTTTTTCAATGCCATAAGTCATACATTTTTCTTAATCTAGGAGGACTTTATGATGGAGTGTGAATGAGTAGGGTCAAGATGAAATTAGAGAATAAGTGTCATCTCAAAAAAGCCTTACTAGCTTAATTACCCTTGTTTTTTCTTTCTTCCCCCTTTTTTTAAATCACACTATTGCCCTAGTTTTCTCCTTCTGATTCATATTTTTTGTGTTTTGGTGTAAGGGCATTTGAACATTTGACATCCGTCCCTTTATAGGCTTGATCGAAGAAAGTGGTTAGCATAAAGGCTCAAAGGCTAGTTAGTGGATTAAATGACTGACATATGGCCTTCCTTCATCTCTTGATTGTATGCATGATTCATGAAAGAAAATACATGTCAAGATTTGTCTTTATTGGTTACTTAAGGAAAATTATGGTTCATAACAATGCTAGAGCCCTTTAGTGAGTTTGCACGTAGTTTCTCTCTGCTTTTTTCTCTATTTTTCATGTTTTTTTGCTCTTTGATCTTTACATTATTTGAAACTTGTGGGTTTTGTCAAAGGAAGGCTTTGACAAAATGCTTAAATGGATTAACTATTGTCTAAATGAATGATGAGGGACCAAGGGGAAACGATTAGCCAAAAATGGCTTCTAGTCCTTTGTTTAGTTGATAGGTTTTGCCCTTGGAACGTATCTTCAATGTCTATGCTACCTGGGTTGTCCCCTTCTTTGAATTTCCAATTAATAGTTAACTTTTCTCAAGAACATATTCATGGGATTTGATGCAAGTCCTTAGTTAAGTTCAGTTTCGATCATTAAATCTTGATATATTAGAAGGAAAAATGGGACTCAATTGAATTTACTGTTTTTTCGAGAGTAAGCAATGGGACACAAACATAGATTAACAAAAGACACGAAAAAAACAAACTTTCATTAAGTAAAAAAACTAAGTACAATGATTTTTAAAAAAAAGTTAGTGTAAAGGTGTTTTAGGCAACAACATGTCTATAAGTTCGAGCCCAAGGTTGTACTGGCCATCATCAATGAGGTGTTGGATAACATATTACAATTGCCAGCATTCATTAGTCTCACGTTGGGATGGCTAATAAGGTAACAAGGTAAACTTTTATATTGCCATCTAGGATGGCTGAATTGATGATGTGAGCATTGAAACAAAGGGTGGTATAAAATCTGGTGGTGTTTCTCCTATATGAGAGATTATCCAATCAACTTTGAAGGTTCATTGTTTTTCGGAGTTCCTCAATCTCTTATTGGATTTTGAGTTGATCTCTAGTATGTGTGGTCATCTTTCCTATTAAGAGAATTAAACTTTAGATGGAATGCAATCATGCATTTTATGAATGTAAAGTTTGTGTTATAATGTGTGTGCATGTAATGTGAAGATGATGCAAACAATGCCTAGACTATATGGGTTGGTACCTATAAGGTGTCTAGGTAGAGAGCCTAAGGTTTTAGGAGAGGATATTAAACGATGTTTATTTGAGAGTCTTAGGGTTTTATTTCTATTTTATTATCTGAGTTCACACCCAAATGCCATTGCCCAGACTACTTACGTACCCTTCGTGAGAAATCAGATTGATCATAGTTATTGAAAATGTTATAAATTTAATTACATATTTTAGTGATGCTTTGAAGGATATTGTCTGGTGTCGACGAGGGCTTGGATGTTGACTTTGAGAATTGTGCAATCATTCGTTGAGTGCCTCGGTCCTTAATGATAAGCGCAATACTCATCTGACTTGAATATCTTTGATAGATGGTTAAGAATTGATTTTGGTGACAAATGTATTAAATATCCATTCTCGATCAATTGAGAAAACAATCGAGATTGTAAAGGGAAGAGAATGAATCACCTCTTGACTCTTCTTTCAAAATTATCAATTAAAGTTCGACATTTCTGTGTTGAAGGTTGACGTATAATGGCAACTATAACGGAAGGAACTCATGCCCTCTATGTGTACGGAGGAGTTTATAGAAATAAGATAGGGTACCTAGCAGAATTATTTTTAGGTCCTGGTAGTGGTGATTCTTTGAAGCCTAGAGTAATGGAAATTATGGAAGGGTAATCCGAGGAAAGGAGTTGAATGTGCACAAAATGATTGTAGGGAACTCATAGTTCGTGATCAAGTGGAAACTAAATAAAGGGACTGATATGTAGATGTGCAAAAATGAATATAATAAAAAGGGGGTGGATTATTTCTCTTTACAATCAACCAAAACAATGGTAGTTCACTTCATCATATAGATGCTTTTCTGATTAAATAGAAGTAGTCTTCCCTCATTCTGCATGATAGAATCATACATGCTTCCTAGAAAGAATCTAAAACAATTAGGATCATCTTATTTTATTTTATTTTTTGTTTTTTGGTAACATGTAATCATCTAAAACCGGGCCATTTCCTGACTTTTAAAAGATGGAATTGAGTTCATCTCATGACTCCTGAATCCTGACACAAGCTTATTTCTATATTCTCCTCCATTTAAATGCTCAAGTTATGCTCTCATATGCAAGCAAGAATCGGACAGAAATAATCCCATCTGAAAGCCATATGACAATGCCTCTAATTTGATGTTCCTATTAAACAATAAATCCCTTTTGAATCCGCCATTGAACGTCTTTCCCTGAGACAAAATTCTACGTGGAAATTAACCTGAGCAAATTCCTTAAAGCCGAGAGTTGAAAAGAGAAAAGAAAAGGAAGAGACAAAGATAACATACAGAAGAGATACCTCTGATTGTTGTTGTCTCCACTAGCGCTTATGGTTTTGTTGGTGATGGTGCTTGAGAAAATTTGGCGAAGGGAGAACATTGTAACAATTCACAGCCAACCTAATACTATCCAACCAATACGATATTTGAGCATTGGGATCTCTCTCCACGAAAACATCTGAGACCGTGATCTGCAATGCACCTCTGTAAGAAGTGATCCGGCCTCGAACTCTAGCCAAAGCACCCAATTTGATCTCCTCAGCAAAACCGGCAGCCATATCGGCCATAAGTCGAACATCTGAAGGGTTGCACCTGGAGAAGTAAGGCGAGTTGAGATGGTTGAGCCAGAGGATGCAAGGAATGCAACCGGTGCCATCGTCGACCAAGAATTTGAGGAACTTGTCTCCCTTACGCTCTCGGCTTACTACCACGCCCACTGTTTCGGCTCTCGAGACTGGTCTACCCTTTCGATAGAAACAAATGGGGTCTGAAGAAGATTTCTGGGTGAGAGAAAGGAAGTCGAAGGCCAGGAGCTTTACATGAGTTCCGTAAGTCGGGTCCATAGACAGCTCTACCTTTTCTCAGCTTCTCTCTGCACTTTTCCTTTCGATGGATTTTTTCCGTTTGTTCCTTTGGAGAGGTGAAGTTAAAATAGTCAGTCTGTTAGAAGTAGTTCTTGGGTAACGGGCTAAGAACGTCAGATTTTGCTCTGTACAAAATAATAGGAAGAAAGGAATTAGGAAATAAGCAGAATACTAGCCCTTGGATCTGTAATCTCAACTCTCACCTGCATCAAACCCATCTGTTCTTACTGTTCTTCATTATGATATATGGGAAATTTCTGAGAAAGAAGAAAACGGAAAACAACAGAGAATGAACAAATAACCGCCAATCCAGCTGTAATAGTCCCCTATTTGAATTTGAATTGGGATATCGGCTACAAAGCCACTAGGAGAAAATCAAAGTAAAAAGGATTCCAACAGAACTTGGAGCGTACACAACACAAAAGGGTTGAATAGGAAAGTATCCACTTACGATTTCCGTGTGTCTAGACTAACAGAGACACAGAAGAAGTCAACAAATGAACAAAACATGGAGTAAATCAGCTGATAGCACAAAAAGGCATCACCAGCCTTGGAATGATTTTTAGCTCAGGGAAAGATCAAACACTGCACTGAAATTTTTGGCATAGGATTTGTCATGGTCGTTCAATACTCCAACATCATTGGGTGGAAACAATGAACAATGGTGTGTAAAGCAGGATCGAAGAATTCCTCCATGCCATGAACAAGTGTACGCTGTTATGGGCCCGTGCGTAGGATCTTTTTCTTGCGCCTTCCCTTGCATGCAGAACCTATTGTGGAAAAGCCGAATGGGTGATTTGTCCAAGAGACCACCCGAACTCTTCTCACTCTTTTCTTGACTAGAAAACTGAATGCCTTTATTTACACTGATGGCTCCTTAAATAAGAGATTACAAAGGGGGGTTCCTTGTTGGATTCGGCTAGGCTAGGGTAATCCAACTCAAACTCAAACTCCTACTTCTAAATAAATTACCTTCTAATGGTAACACAACTCCTACTTCTAGTGGCAAACCGAACTCTTACTAAGAAGATAAGATAAGATAAGGATAAGGGATGAGGGATAATACAACTGGCGGCGAGTTGGCTAGAGTGGCAAGGTAAGTGGGCCCTTGATGAGCTATCGTGTGGGCCCCCCCTACTGCTGCTGCCGGGCGGTGCGCACGTCTCACAGTGCTACTGCTGTGTGGTGCGTGTTGCTGCCTAGTGCTGCTGCCGTGCGGTGCGTGCTGTTGCCTAGTGCTGCTGCCGCGCGGTGCGTGCTGCCGTGCGCTTTGCTGTGCGTGCTGCCATGCGCGCTACTGTGCGTGCTGCTGTGCGCTCTGCTGTGCGTGCTGCCGTGCGCTCTGCTGTGCGTGCTGCCGTGCGCGCTGCTGTGCGTGCTGCCGCCTATGACTGCACCGCAGTGCGCTGCCGGGCGGTGTGTCCATAACATCACACCGCTCTTGGACTACGAGTTTGTCCTCAAGCTCGAATTGGGTGTCGAAAACACCCAAAGGAATCCTGGATAGGTGGAATGGCTTTTCCCTCCTGGATCGGGTTCCCATGGAGGGGGTTCATCATCATCTTCCTCTTGTTTCACTAGGAGGCAGAAAAGTCTCTTGCACTTGTGCCCTGCTGAGTAGAGTTCATCTCAATTAAAACACTACTCCCTCGCCCTGCGTTTGCCATCTCAGCCCTAGACAAGTGCTTAATGGGGGGTGTAACGGTGCTACTCCCTGCACTGGATGCCGATCTGGGATTGGTGCTTGTCTGTGGCTTCTGTTCTTGGCTGGCTGCTGAGTATTGAGCCACTCCGACTGGTTCCGGGGATGCCCATGCTGATGGAGGCCGCCCCATACTGACAGTCCCGTGGCTGAGCTGTAGTTTGCGTTCGAAGGCGCGTGCTAGGTTCATGGCTATGACCAGGTTGGGAGGGTGTTGCATCTTCACGACCACCCTTAGGGGTTCTGCTAGCCCCGCGGTGAACATGTCGACTTGCTGATCTGTGTGAACCGAGGTTGCTCTGGCGAGAAGGGTTTGGAACTGGCGTTGGTATTCTGCCACGGTTCCAGTTTGCTTGAGGTTGACTAACTCACCCAGCGGGTTGCTTGTCAACGGTGGTCCGAACCTGAGGAGACAATATGACTTGAACTGATCCCAACTAAGTCCTGGTTCCTCCCGTTCCACTCGGTAGAACCAGAGCTGTGCTTCGTCTATCAGATGGAACGCGGCCAGGCTGACCTTATCCTTCTCCTCCGTGCGCTGATTACGGAAGAATTGCTCGCAACGGTACAGCCATCCTAGTGGGTCGCCGCTGCCGCTGAATGAGGGAAACTCCAAACGGCTATACTTGGGAATAACTGCGGCTGTCGGAGCAGCGATCTGCTATTCATTGGATGCCTCTACCCAGTCTGGACGACGACTGTTTGTGTTGGCGACTCCCTCAGAACTCCTTTCTTTGTTGGAGATGAATGCTTCCAGCAGGCATCGCAGCTCCCGAACATCTTCCTTGACTTCACGAACCTCCATGCTGGTTTCTACTA